CCTGCTGGGGGCGTGATTCACACACAGTCCATGATGGGGCTATCGTAGCCGACCCAGAGCGTAGCTAAAGGTCTGTGTGTGTCCATAGGCCAGACTGGGGGTGACTACTGGATCTATGTTATCCAGCCCGACACCCTGCCCAGCTGTTGACTGAAGGTCTCCATGGGAAAAAAAAAGAGACAAAAAAAGGCTATGGAACCACAGGACCCAGCAGGGAACTAGGCCCTTACTCCAGAAACCTTAGGCAGAAAAAGTGGCTTGGCAGAGAGGGGGGATTTACACCAGCCAGGACTGCCCATAGGTGGTGCTGTTCTTTTTCTGCCCAGTGTCCTACTCCTGTAGGTGGCGCTATAAACCCTATGGTCAAGAATCAGAAGAGCTGTGTCCATCAATGAACACAAGAAAAAAATGTTGCCTTTAGTACCCCCCCCCCCCCCCCCCCCCAAGGTTAGGACGGCAATCTAGAAAAGAAAAAAAAAAAATCTACCTATAGGTGGTGCTGTTCTTATTCTGCCCTGTGTCCTACTCCTGTAGGTGGCGCTATAAACCCTATGGTCAAGATTTAGTAGAGCTGTGTCCATCAATGAACACAAGAAAAAAATGTTGCCTTTAGTACCCCCCCCCCCACCCCCTTCCCCAAGGTTAAGACGGCAATCTAGAAAAAAAAAAATCTACCCATAGGTGGTGCTGTTCTTTTTCTGCCCTGTGTCCTACTCCTGTAGGTGGCGCTATAAACCCTATGGTCAGAAGAGCTGTGTCCATCAATGAACACAAGAGGAAAAAAAAAAAGTTGCCTTTAGTACCCCCCCCCCCCCCCAAGGTTAATACAGAAATCTAGAAAAAAAATCACAACGTCTATTTGTCTTGTTGGTCAATGAAAAGAGAAAATAACGACCATGTGTGCTTCGCTGAACTTTATTCCAAATAAAGAGCAATACAAATATAGAATGTTCCGTCTGTTTTTCTTTTTTTTTCTCTTTTTTTTTTCTAAAACCATCTAGTGTCTCAGAAACCTAAACCTAAATTGTTGTCTGCTGTTCTCAAAGTGGACCTGTCATACGGCAGCTGCATTCAGTGCTGATGGGAGCCGAGAGCAACAGGACGGCAGTGAGATCACTATGCTGACAATGGTGTGATTGGCCGCAGAAAGGATCTATAGTGGAAAAACCACTCCTTCTCACTCAGTTATCTAAATCCCAATGACTCAGTGGAACGCCTTCCACCCCAGAAAGGCAAGTACAAACAATGATAATAAGCCCCATAAAAATTAAAAAAAAAATAACAAAAAATTTAAAATTATTTTTTTAAATTAATATTTATGTGACAGGAAGGATCTGCCATAGAGAATTTATTCAAATTGGCTGAGCATGGCTTCAGCAGACAAAACTACAGCCTTAAAGGGGACCTGTCACCCCAAATTGGACACATCATTGCCATCCTAATCCTCTTTTCTGAAAAGTTTTGTAAAAGTAATTAAAGCTGCAGCATTTAAAAAAAAAAAAAAAAAAAGCACCGACTCCGATTGGCTCCCTGCTTACCAGACCTGCAGTTTAGGCAATGGTGATGTAGGCAGTGTCTTCCTATCACCTCCTGAGAAGGCTACCTCACCAGAGGCTGCAATCAGATCTCAGGATTCATGTCAAACCTTTATCTCAAAAGAAAACAAAAACTGCTGTAACTGATTATAAAGTGTGAGCTGGAGTTTGGCTTCTATTTGTTAGTGTATCTAAATCTGGCAATACATTTAAACACTCCTACACCCCAGACTGACAATGCTGCTGTCTACTGTGTCTTGTGCTCATTCCTCCAGAGTGGTGTCTCACTAATACAGGATCTGTGTTACTGGCCATGTGAAAACAGAGAAGAAAAAAAGCCAAAGAAAACTTTGTTATTGTATCTAAATCTGCTAGTACATCTAACACTCCCTATCCCCCCAGATTGGTGCTGTCTGCTGCGCCCCCTGTGCTCTTTCATCCAGAGTGGTGTCTCACTAATACAGGATCTGTGTTACTGGCCAGATCACCAGGTGGAAACAGAGAAGAAAAAAAGCAAAAGAAAAAACTTTGTTAGATGTACTAGCAGATTTAGATACACTAACACTCCCTTCTCCCAGGATTGGTGCTGTCTGCTGCACCCCCTGTGCTCTTTCATCCACAGTGGAGGCACTCTAATACAAGATCTGTGTTACTGGCCAGATCACCAGGTGGAAACAGAGAAGAAAAAAAAGCCAAAGAAAAAACTTTGTTAGATGTACTAGCAGATTTAGATACACTAACACTCCCTTCTCCCAGGATTGGTGCTGTCTGCTGCACCCCCTGTGCTCTTTCATCCACAGTGGAGGCACTCTAATACAAGATCTGTGTTACTGGCCAGATCACCAGGTGGAAACAGAGAAGAAAAAAAGCCAAAGAAAAAACTTTGTTAGATGTACTAGCAGATTTAGATACACTAACACTCCCTTCTCCCAGGATTGGTGCTGTCTGCTGCACCCCCTGTGCTCTTTCATCCACAGTGGAGGCACTCTAATACAAGATCTGTGTTACTGGCCAGATCACCAGGTGGAAACAGAGAAGAAAAAAAAGCCAAAGAAAAAACTTTGTTAGATGTACTAGCAGATTTAGATACACTAACACTCCCTTCTCCCAGGATTGGTGCTGTCTGCTGCACCCCCTGTGCTCTTTCATCCACAGTGGAGGCACTCTAATACAAGATCTGTGTTACTGGCCAGATCACCAGGTGGAAACAGAGAAGAAAAAAAGCCAAAGAAAAAACATTTTGTTAATGTATCAAAATCTGCTAGTACATCTAACACTCCCTTCCCCCCAGATTGGTGTTGTCTGCTGCGCCCCCTGTGCTCCTTCATCCAGAGTGGAGGCACTCGAATTCAGGATCTGTGTTACTGGCCAGATCACCAGGTGAAAACCAATGGAAAAAGCCAAAGAAAAGAAAACCGATACAACCCCCCACGTCTAATGATTGGCAAGCTGCGATATATGACATTTGTAGTTTTGTATATACATGACAGGTACACCTGAAACATCCAATAAAACAACACACAACTATGGTAATAGTTTCAACTTAAAGGAGTTCAGCCAAAATAAAAAACGATTGGTAAACGTAAAAAACATGACATGAATGGCTGCGTAAAATAAAACCGTAACTAAATCAAGGGGAGCAATATATGGCACTGAGGACACCTAGAACATCTAGCTCCCTGCAGGTCAGTGACTGAGCATCACCAAGAATAGGGATTTCTAAGTGCTGATCCCTACGGATTACAATTGCTATAAAGGGACGTTTGTCGTCCCCATCGCTCTATTGCTCTGTACTTTGGCTAACTTCCCATACCAATGAATAGGGCGTCTATCAGCTAGCTTGCCCAAGATCCTCTACCTACCTGATCCAAGACTTGGGCTACCTGAAACTCCCCGGGGCTGGTCAATAAAGACCTGTAATATGGAAACTGGGTGGGAAGTTGATCAATATTTTTTGCCCCCACCCCTTCCATTTCCTTTAAGGGTATATAAGGCCAAAACCTTCTTTTTTTTCAGTTTTGGGAAGGGTAAGGTTGGGTTAGAAGATCTGCAGTCTGTGATTCACCATTACCTCCAGTGCTAGGAAATCCAATACTTTTGAGCCTTCACAGGAACAGGAGGGGAAATCCTGGGCCGGGCTGAGGTGCAGGTTGAAGAGGAGGCCGACCTGGGTGCTACAGCAGGAGAGGGGTGCAAAAAGGGCACTTTGGCTTTTTGCCTTGGAGGCTACAGGACAGGACCCCATCTTGTGGGGAAACCTGCCTATTCTGGTGGCAACTGTCTAAGGGCTCTTGCATGTGGGGTGGGGGTGTTAAATCTCTGCATTTGGAAACGCTTTTACCTCCCCCTCTTTAGCTGCAGAGGCAGGACCTGGGGACGGGTGTATTTACCATAAGGCAAACAAGGCATTCGCCTAGGGCGGCATTGCAGGGGGCAGCAGCATTTTTCAGGGGGGCAGCACCATCCCCCAAAAGAAGGAAAGGAAGAAGGGACACACGCAGCATGGGGACCAGGTGGGATCTGAAAGAGGCTGCGGGCTGCTTGATGGTGTGTGTGCAGAGCCTGACTCTTGTTCCCGGGGGTGTCCGGAGCTGTGAATGTGTCCTATCTCTTGCCGGGGTGTGTGTGTGTGTGTGTGGGGAAGGGGGGGTGTTTGCCAGTGTACGGGGGGCAGTGGTAGTGGGAGGCTGTCTCGGGTGAGGGTGGGGCTGGTTTGTTGTTGGTCAATGTCAGGCTCTCTTCGTGGGGTAGGGGGGTGTTGGCCGGTGTCAGGGTCTCTCTGGGGGGGGGGGGGGGGGTCAGTTTTTGTGTTGCCTAGGGCAGCAGGGAACCTAAATACACCATTGCCTGGGGGGGGGGGGGGGGGGGGGGGGTTGGGACGACACGTTCTGCAGCAGGAATTGTATCCAGCAGGCGTGACTCATTCAAGTAAACGGGGTTGCTCTATGGCATGCTACTTTGGGATTCAAGAGGTTAAAGCAGGTGGTAAGGAGCTGATACATTGGCTCCTGACCACATGCCAAATGCTCTCTGAAGAGCGATCCAAGAACAGATTGCTCTTCAGAGATCAAAGCACATGTGAACGAGCCCTTAAAGTGAACATCCTTTGGAGAAATAGCCTCCTACTTCCTGGTGTACACCTGAAACAGAAAGTGAAATGAAATCACTCCTATAGGGGGCACAAAAAAAAAAAAAAAAAAAAAAAACAACAGATGAGGTTTTACCATCCCCTACCAAAACCAGAAAAAAAGTTTCAGCTGTACATACACTTTTTAATTCTCATAAGTGCTGCAACCACGCTCACCGGGAACCTATAGTATAAAGCTGAATGGCACCATGAAGAATGGAGTAGTAACGTGTTGTCACCCTTGAATTGGTGACAACCCTCCAGTAGTATCAGCTAAGTGCAGTTGAACTATTTCAGTGCTTGTTGAGGACTGTGGTCGGAGTGTTCGGAGGGAGACCTCAATCCTCTTTGGCCGGTGACTGGCCGGGACTCAGGGGATGCTTCTCCTCTAACCTCTCACTGGACGAGTCGGCCACATCCAGGGTGGTTCTCTTGAGAAGGTAAACGCCCGCGTGAAGCCCTCCTATATTAACCCAGACTGTGTGCATCTTCCTCCACAGGTGCCCCGCTCTGGCCAAGGCCTGAAAATGAAACAAATAGGAAATAAAGTTTTCAATATTACGAAAATAAGTCAGATTCCTAAAGCCCATTTTAACCTTCAGTAAAAAAAAAAAAAATACATTCAGCTCATGCAGACTCCGCCTCCGCAACATCGCCAAAATCCGCACGTTCCTAACCCCAGAAACCACTAAACAGCTCATCCACTCCCTCATCATATCACGACTCGACTACTGCAACTCCCTCCTCACTGGCCTGCCTCACCACAGGCTATCCCCGCTTCACTCCATCCTGAATACGGCTGCCAGACTCATTCACCTTCCAACCGCTCCAACCGCTACCATCCCTCCACCGCCTCCTCCACCCCCCTCTGCCAATCCCTCCACTGGCCTCCACTCAGTGTCCTCCACCCCCCTCTGCCAATCCCTCCACTGGCCTCCACTCAGTGTCCTCCATCCCTCTCTGCCAATCCCTCCATTGGCCTCCACTCAGTGTCCTCCACCCCCCTCTGCCAATCCCTCCACTGGCTCCACCCCTCTCTGCCAATCCCTCCACTGGCCTCCACTCAGTGTCCTCCACCCCCCTCTGCCAATCCCTCCACTGGCCTCCACTCAGTGTCCTCCACCCCCCTCTGCCAATCCCTCCACTGGCCTCCATTCAGTGTCCTCCACCCCCCTCTGCCAATCCCTCCACTGGCCTCCATTCGGTGTCCTCCATCCCTCTCTGCCAATCCCTCCACTGGCTTCCGATTGCGCAACGGATCAAATTCAAAATCCTAACGCTGACGTACAAAGCCGTCCACCATACTGCCCCGAACTACATCACTGACCTAATATCCAAGTACCACCCAACACGCACACTCCGCTCCTCACAAGACCTCCTTCTCTCTAGTTCCCTGGTCTCCTCCTCCCATGCCCGCCTCCAGGACTTCTCCAGGGTGTCACCCATCCTCTGGAACTCCCTGCCCCAACCCATCAGATTATCACCTACACTCCTCTCCTTTAGGCGCACCCTGAAAACCCATCTCTTCAGGGAAGCCTACCCCACCCCCTGCTAACTTGCTGACCTCCTCCACTCTTCCTACAACTCCATCCCCCCACAGCTATCTCCTCCTGTGCCACCATCCCCCCCTCCTAGATTGTAAGCTCCAAGGAGCAGGGCCCTCGATCCCCTCATGTTTTGCATTGTATTGGTATTGTTCTGTCTCATGTTCTGTCCCCCTTTGTAATGTACAGCGCTGAGCGAACTATTGGCGCTTTATAAATACTGTATAATAATAATAAAGGTGCTGCAACACAAAAGGTGTTCTAAAAGTAAGTTTGTTTTCTTTCTAAAGCAGCCACAGCCTGAGCAGAAAAGCCTATCCTCTGCCAGCATGCTGCAGGGAAGGACCCTGGTTTTCCATATGAAATCAGTGGTCTCTCTGCAGAGGTCAGAAATGCCTCTGCTGAATCAGGCCTGTTGCTCTGTAACCAGCAAAGATCATACTCCTTGACTTAGCAAGGGACATCTGCCATTTGCAGAGAGACCACTGCTTCCTCACAAAGAGCCCTACTCTGCAGTATGCTGGCAGGGATGGACCCTTACTCCCTGTGTGGAAGCAGTGGTCCTTCTGCAGAGTTTAGAACCCCCTCCCTTGAGTCAGACCTATAGTTATCCCAGCAGCGTGCTGGCAGGGGGCAGGTTTTTTTTTTTTTTTTATTTAGGTTGTGGCTAAGAAAACAAACCATAAGACTTTGTACACCTTTAATTTTGAGACACATGATTTGTATTTGGCTCAATTGGGCTTTAACTTCTTGGTACCCATCTAACCCATTCGTGTGGTGCAAAGAGGGTGGGCTTTAATGCCCACGTGCTGGACATTTGCATCCAGGGCAGTAGAGGTTTCTGTTCTGAAAGCATGCTCACAGCACAGTGGCCAAGCTGCCAAACACAGCTCCCCATCTCTAGTGATGATCAGTAGCCAGCAGAACTGGATCCCAATCATGTGACAGCCAATCACAAGTCACGTGATCAGGCCAGACCTTCCCAGCCCTAGGCGTAATAACCCATTAAAGCAAACTTAAAATGGTAGTAAACCGCAGAAACAAAACAAAACATGCTGATGGGGACAAAGGGCTTTGGGGGAGGGTTGAGCCCCTTGCCCCAAACACCCCTCCCATGTTGAGGGCATGTAGCCTGGCCTGGTATGGTTCAGGAGGACATGCCGGGCTGAATGCTCGGATAAGAGTCTGGTATGGATTTGGGGGGGGGGGACCCCACACCATTTTTTTTTTTAAATTTTGGCTTGGGAGTTACCCTCAAAATCCATGCCAGACCTGAAGGGCTTGGTATGGATGGGAGGGGGGACACCATGCCGTTTTTTAAATTATTTTTTTAATTGCCGGCAATTCTTTTACATTCAGCTGTCAGCTGAAACATTAACACATGGTTGTCACTGTTAAAATACCGCATGACTTGATAAAATAACTCAGGTGGTATTTTAGTAGCGTTTACTTTTTTCTGAACTCCAGAACGGACGAATTGGTTTTCAATGCATTCCTATGGGAAACGGCGTTTCGGTTTATGAATTCTTCAGTTATACGAAAAGTCCCGCAGAACGAATTAAATTAGTAAACCGAAGTATTACTGTAAAATATAATATACCTTCCTATCTATTCGCTAATGTTAGGATTAATAGTAGTCAGTGTTGATTGAGAGAGTTTAGCTCTGTTTTAAAGGGATGTCAGGGCTGGCTGGAAAGGGGTTAAAACTAAAAACATTCTGTTTGTCCTGGTGGTTTTTGTCCCCTGGATGGAAAGCAATGAGAAATCCAAAATGTCACCGGAATGCCGCCCACCTGGTCCAGTACTTCCCCCATCCCAATTCCAGCAATTTTTGTTCGGAGCTACACAGTCTTTCCTCCAATAGGTCGTCTTCATCCTGTGCATGCATGCATGGCCCCATCCATTCCTTACTCCTGAGGACTCCTGAGGATCACCATACGTATGAGTCCCCAGACGATGAATCGGGCCGTACCGTGCATGCACAGAGTGAAGAGGACCCGGCAGGAAAGCTTTTGGAAGGAACTCCGTGTTGCACTGGGCACGTCCGCTCAGTGAAGATTGCTGTAACGTGGATAGAGGTAAGTACAGGGCCAGGTGGGCTGCACTTTGTCGGGAGGGGGCATACCTCAAAGGATAAATTGTACCAAAGGTTCAGCTGTCCTTCAACTATATTGTCTGGTCCTTTAGAATATTCACCTTAATGAAGCATTTCCTATCATGGGTCAGAAGAACTGCTCTTCCAGTGCCGGCCCGGCACACCCGACTCATCTCCTGGAGGCAGGCGGGGTACAGGTCCCAGTTCTTCTTCTTTGACCCGATTCTGTGAAAATACAACTGAGAATAAGGCAGCTGAATGGAGACAACAAAACCTGAAAACCTACAGATTACAGGGAGGGATGCAGAGTGGTTCACAACCGGACCTGCCCTCTCCTAAGCCTCCAGCTAGTAGCAGATCCTGTACTTCCCACAATGCCTCCCAGCTCCCATAGTGCCCCCAACCTCACACAGGGGCCCACAGTGTCCCCAGAGAGCCTTCAGCTTCCATAGTACCCCCTAGCCTGCTGTATAGCCTCCAGCCCTCCAAAGTGCCCACAACCTCTAACAGCCCTCAGCTTCCCCCCCTCCAAGCTCCCACAGTGCAACCTAGCCTTCCATATTGCCCACTAACCTGTTACAGAGATTCCAGCCCTCCAAAGTGCCCCCAACAGTACCCCACAATGTCTGACTAGATTGTGGCCTGCCTTCTCCAAAGCCTCCAGATAGCAGGAGATCTCTTAGCCTTCTCGTTCTCATAGTGCTCCCCAACCTCACACAGGGGCCCACAATGTCCCCAGAGAGCCTTCAGCTTCCATAGTACCCCCTAGCCTGCTGTATAACCTCCAGCCCTCCAAAGTGCCCACAGCCTCTAACAGCCCTCAGCTTCCATAGTGCCCCCTAGCCTTCCACATTGTCCACTGGCCTGTTGCAGAGATTCCAGCCCTCCAAAGTGCCCCCAACAGTGCCCTACAATGTCTGACTACAGGGCTCACAGTGCCCCCAGAGACCGCTCTCAGCTTCCACAGTGCCCCCCAGCCTACCACATTGCCCACTAGACTGTTGCAGAGATTCCAGCCCTCCAAAGTGCCCCCGACAGTGCCCCACAATGTCTGACTAGATTATGGCCTGCCTTCTCCAAAGCCTCCAGATGGCAGCAGATCTCTTAAGCCTCCAAGTTCCCATAGTGCTCCCCAACCTCACACACAGGGGCCCACAGTGTCCCCAGAGAGCGCTCAGCTTCCACAGTGCTCCCTAGTCTCCCACATTGCCTACTAACCTGTGGCAGAGCCTCCAGAGTGCCTCCAACCTCCAACAGGGCCCCACAATGTCCGACTGACCAATGGCCTGCCTTCTCAGTTAGCAGCAGATCCCTTACCCTCTCACCGTGCCTCCCAGCTCTCAAACCTCACATAGGGGCCCATGAGTGCCTCCAGAGAGCCCTCAGCTTCCAAATCAGGTGGTTAAGCTGCAGTCTTACCCCCTGTTGGGAGACCCTCACCTCTTTCCAAAAGGCATGTCTGTAATGATGACGTCCACACTTCCCGTCCTCAGCGGCAATCTAGAGATGTCCCACTGTGCAGCATCTATTGGCAGCCCCTGGGTGGCGCTGTGCAAACAAAGAAAATTCACTTATTATATAAAAAAGTGCATGTGGTGGCTGAAGTTTAACCTGCTTATATTTTACCTTCCCTAGTTCCTCCCTCCCCCCTCATCAACAAGCGAACTACATTTTTATATAAAGGTTATTTTTATTCCATACTTTATTTTAACCCTAATGATGCCATCACTGGGTCCATGTGCTTCCCTATGGAATGCAGGCAGATCGTGGATAGTGGGAGGGGTCAGCAGAGGGGAATATGTAGCTTTTTAATGCAACACATGGTTGCAGATAAGAAAAAAGTTTGATTCCCCCATCAACACAGTCAGTGGAAGAATCCCTCCCGCAGCATGATTGTGTTCTGCCGGCCAAAAGCTTTTCATGCCAGCAGAGCACAATGATTACTGCTGGCGGCTATAGCCACCAGCAGTAGTCACTTGCAAGAAAAACATCAGGAGGGTTGTACTGAAGTTGATCTGAGATTCCGAGCGACATGTGATGCTGAGCTTCCATGATTGAAAGAACTGAAATGAAATTAATGAAAATGGAGGGACAGTCAGGCTGGGGAGGAAAGATCTAGATCAGGGGTGGGCAACTGTGGTCCTCCAGCTGTTGGTGAACTACAAGTCCCATCATGCCTCTGCCTTTGGGAGTCATGCTTGTAACTGTCAGTTTTGCAATGCCTCATGGGACTTGTAGTTCTACAACAGCTGGAGGGCCACAGTGCCCACCCCTGATCTAGATGATGCTGGACGTCCTCCAGCCAGGAAGTGAGGTGGAGCTCTCTGATGTGCTGCAGCTTCTAATGCACACTGTGAGAAGCTCACAGTTTGAAGTTAAGTCAGAGTAAGCTTCAGTCCAAGAGAGGAGCCGGTGCAACTGCGCAAGACTGAAGGGGAGGAGCCGGTACACCTGCGCAAGAATGGAGGGGAGGAGTCGGTACACCTGTGCAAGACTGAAGGGGAGGAGTCGGTACACCTGTGCAAGACTGAAGGGGAGGAGTCGGTACACCTGTGCAAGACTGAAGGGGAGGAGTCGGTACACCTGTGCAAGACTGAAGGGGAGGAGGCGGTACACCTGTGAAAAACTGAAGGGGGGAGGAGCCGGTACACCTGTGCAAGACTGAAGGGGAGGAGCCGGTACGCCTGTGCAAGACTGAAGGGGAGGAGCCGATACGCCTGTGCAAGCCTGAAGGGGAGGAGCCGGTACGCCTGTGCAAGACTGAAGGGGAGGAGCCGGTAGCCGGTACAAGACTGAAGGGCAAGACTGTAAAGGGAGGGGGAGTCGGTACACCTGTGCAAGACTGGAGGGGAGGAGCCGGTACACCTGTGCAAGACTGGAGGGGAGGAGCCGGTACACCTGTGCAAGACTGAAGGGGAGGAGTCGGTACACCTGTGCAAGACTGAAGGGGAGGAGTCGGTACACCTGTGCAAGACTGAAGGGGAAGGGGACTGAAGGGGAGGAGTCGGTACACCTGTGCAAGACTGAAGGGGGGAGAGAGTCGGTACACCTGTGCAAGACTGAAGGGGAGGAGTCGGTACACCTGTGCAAGACTGAAGGGGAGGAGTCGGTACACCTGTGCAAGACTGAAGGGAGGAGTCGGTACACCTGTGCAAGTACACCTGTGTGAAAAAACTGAAGGGGAGGAGCCGGTACACCTGTGCAAGACTGAAGGGGAGGAGCCGGTACACCTGTGCAAGCCTGAAGGGGAGGAGCCGATACGCCTGTGCAAGCCTGAAGGGGAGGAGCCGGTACGCCTGTGCAAGACTGAAGGGGAGGAGCCGGTACGCCTGTGCAAGACTGAAGGGGAGGAGCCGGTACAACTGTGCAAGACTGAAAGGGAGGAGCCGGTACACCTGTGCAAGACTGAGGGGAGGAGCCGGTACACCTGTGCAAGACTGGAGGGGAGGAGCCGGTACACCTGTGCAAGACTGAAGGGGAGGAGCCGGTACACCTGTACAAGACTGAAGGGGAGGAGCCGGTACACCTGTGCAAGACTGAAGGGAAAGACAGAGGTCAGATTTAAAGGGCAACTGTACCTTTGGAACAAATTATCCTTTAAGCCATGGCCGCGCCCTCCTTAGTACAGCCCACCCAGTCCAATATACACCTCTGTTCCTGTTCCAGAGATCTCCACAGTCCTACCTGCAGCTGCATTCTTTATTACAAAAGCACCCTCCCCCCCCCGGATCCTCTACATCCTGTGCACGCGTGCTCTGGCCCTATTGATACCTATGTGGAGACATAGTCATGGTAGCCTTTAATGGTCATTTATTCCCCCCATAAAAATGACAGCATTTTAGTAGCCTCGTTATAAACAAATACAACACATCATTTATATAATACTCACCTTTTCTTCAGCAGGGAACAGATGTTGCTAGCAGTCCTGTTCACTGCGTTGCAGTTGTTGTCACCGGCGACAAAGAAACAGGCGGACCACTCACTCACACCCTACAAAAAAAGAACAAAAAGCATCAACATGGTAAAGCTTACTGCAACAGCCTGACTTACCTACAGAGTATCTGCAGAGCATAAGCAGGTAAGATTTAGCAATTGAGGCAAATAAAATTCAGTTTTAATTATAGTAAATCTAAAAAAAAAAAATATATATTTTTTTTTTCTGTTGGCATCTTTAACACACATCATCTCTCTCTCTGCAATACTCAAAATTGATCAGACTCTGGTCAAGCACCCCCCCCCCCCCCCCCCCCCCAATCAGGCATACCCGGGGGTGTCTAATCAGTTCTTAAAGCGGAGCTCCACCTGAAAAAAAACTGTAGCTGCTGACTTTTAAATTACAGCCACTTACCTGTCCCTCGGTCCAGCACCCCTCACCATGGCTGGTTTCACCGGCCGACTTCTCTCCCTGGCGCCGGCATCTTCAGTGTGGGCATCCGGCTGTGACAGCTTGCGGCTTCACAGCCGGGTGCCCACTGCGCATGTGTGAGAAGCGCTGCGCTTTGTGAATGGCCTCGGGGAGGGAGGGGTGGAGGACAACTGCCACTTCCGATAGCCTAGGCCAGGGGTAAGCAACCTGCGGCTCTCCCAGCTGTTGCAGGACTACAAGTTCCATCATGCCTCTGCAAGTCAAAGCTGTAACTGTCAATTTTCAAATGTCTCATGGGAAATGTAGTTCCACAACAGCTAGAGAGTCGCAGGTTGCCTCGGCGATCTCAGCGGAAGTGGGATCGGGTACCTGTCAAATTTGGGCACCTGCTCCCCCCGCCTCCCCAAAGGTGCCAATCCATAATGGGGAGCAGGGGACCAAGGCTTAACGTGGAACTTCCCCTTTTGGGTGGAGCTTCGCTTTAAGTTCTCTTGCAATACAAGTAATGCACCGGTAATGAGAGGGTATGGCTGTGATGAGGGGGGTGTGGCCATTACTCAGCTCTACCAACACAGAGCACTGGAGCAGGAGGGCAGGAATCAGCATTTTCATTGAGGGGGAAAAAAGATATTTCAAAGCATTTCTAAGCAAAACGTAATCACAAAACACAGAGGAAGGGGGCAGAATAAAGGAGATAAAAAGATATAAGGAGGCTACAATGGACATTAAAAGAAGACTCCGCTGCTGTCGTTTGAGAAAGGAGACCCATTGAAGGGAAGTTACCTCTATAGGGATGGCTCCCGTCCCACACATCGGATCCACGATGACATCTGACGGCTCCAGGTCGCACAGTCTGAGAAACAAAAAACACACAGCGGTCAGATAAGAGGACACCGTTGTCACCATTAGCAGGAGATAAAAGTAGCTTGGAGACCACCTGAGCATGCCGTAGGCCAGCGTGGAACGCAACGTGGTGGGCCCGAAGTGCGTAATGTTTCTGCGGTGCAGGCTCTCCTCGTCAGTGCGATTCCCACCAACATCTCATTATAACTGATGTTCAGGAGAACCTGGAGGAACAGAATAAAATAAAACACATTGTAAGACAGATGAGAGAAGCTCCCGCCCAGGGGTGGACTGACAACTCATGGGGCCCCCAGGCAATAGGGGATCATGGGGGCCCGTGTCCTTGCCCACACTCAAACCATACCCAAAAAAGCCTATGAAAGGTACCAGCCAGTAGGTGGAGCTCTAGGCTCATTTTCTCATTTTACAAGACTATCCCTTTCTGCTCTGCTGAAAACAAAAAGACCAGCTCTTTGTCCCTTTAAGTGGGCTATTACAGCCGAGAGCTGAAAGGTCTGCCATATCATCTGATCACTGTGATTGGCTGCCACAGTGGTCACGTGATCGAGAGCCAGACCCTCTGGCTCCTGATCAGGACTAGGTGCTGGGTGCAAGCAGGGAGCATACGCTTAATACAGAAAATGTGGCTGGGCTATTATTCCTGTGGGGCTGGAAAGGCTGCCCAGTCATGTCAGCACTTTGATTGACTGACACTGTGATCACATTATCAGGAGCTGGATCCACTGGCTCCTGATCAGTACTAGAGACCAGGAGCTGTCTTTGACAGCTCAGTCATTCTGCTGGGAGCAAGCAGTGAGCATACGCTTAGTACAGAACATTCGGCTGGGCTATTATTCCTGTAGGGCTGGAAAGGCTGCCCAGTCATGTCACCACTTTGATTGATTGACACCGTGATCACATTATCGGGAGCTGGATCCACTGGCTCCTGATCAGTACTACAGACCAGGAGCTGTCTTTGACAACTCTGTCACTGTGCTGGAAGTGGGCAAAGAGTGCACTCTCAGCACAGAAACCTTGGCCTCCCATTGACGCATCTGTGCAGTGTGTGGGTGTTAAAGCCCACCCTCTTTGCCGTATACATGTGTTTCGTAGATGGCAGGAGGTTAACAGAGATCAATATCTCAAGCTGCAATTTATACACAGAACTGAATGAATGAGAATTCCTCCTGTTTCTCTCTTTAGGCGGCTATGTCAATCAGAGAGAGAGGGTCTGAAAGCAAGCTTTGACTTTGTGCTCTCTTTTGAAGACTTTTGAAGAAGAACTACTGACAGTAATAAAGGAAGGCACCTGCCTCTCTCACCCCTCATACATTCCTATTGCCCAATTACAATGGGTTGCTTCAATGGCCAAAACAACAGGAGGCAGAAGGGGCGGGAGAAACGTCAACATTAGCGAAAAGTGCTGAAGTTTTGGCCAATCAGGACAACTCAGCGTTTGGTCAGTGGGGACACTTTAAACCAGGGGTGGACTGACAACTCATGGGCCCCCCGGGCAATAGGGGATCATGGGGCCCCTGTTTCCTCGCCCACACTCAAACCATACCCATAAAAAAGCCTATTAAAGGTACCAGGGGCATCTCATGGAGCCCCCTACTGACTCCGGGCCCTCGGGCATTGCCCGAGTTCTTGAATGGTCAGTCCGCCCCCTGCAGGTATGCTACTCTAAAAATCAAAAAGGTGTTTAAAGTTCATCCACGGGTGTGTTAACCCTTCTCTACTCCACCCAGAATAAAAATGTTACCATTGGTAGTTCATGGCACAAGATGGCGGCCACCATACACATACCTCCACATCAAAGTTGGTCATATCGGCCTTCCATTGGAAGTGATCCTGTACCGCTCCACCGAAATCTCTGGCGGCATCGTTGGACGTGAAGCTGTGCTTGTCTCCAGCTCGGTTACAGGTGACGCGGAATTTCAAGACATTGCCGGTGTCCCCAACTCCGCCTACCACGCTGTCTTCTAAGGAAGCCTCAGGACTGAGATCTTCAGCCGAAGCCTCTGAGCTATCCACCACCGGATGGTCCAAGCTATTGCACTCCTGAACTACAGGTGGCGCCACCATCTCTTTATCAGTCTTCATCTTTCTGTCTTCCTCAGGAGCATCAGCAGCGGAAGGCACCACCTGCTGTTTCCGCTCTTTCTCGAGTTTTTTTTTCTTTTTTTTTTTCTTTAGGTTGTTGTTTAGCTCCCAGGTCTTCAGGGCTTTCTCCCAGGGCAGCTTTGAGGCCAGTTCTTTAAAGTCCTCCAGAGCAGCTTCCTACCCAGACATGAAAAATATCACCGTTCTAAAAGTAGAGGCAATTATACAATACTTCTATTAACCACTTGACCTCCAGAAAGTTTTACCCCTTCATGACCAGGGCATTATTTTGCTATGCAGCACTACACTACTTTAACTAGTAGTTGCGAGGTCATGCAACACTGTACCCAAATGAAATTTATATTAAAAAAAAAAATTTTTCACACAACTAGAGCTTTCTTTTGGCAATATTTGATCACCACTGAGTTTTTCATTTTTTATTACATAAATGAAAGACCAAAAATTTAAAATAAAAAGTATTTTTTTTTCTATTATAAAACATATCCAATCAAAAAAAAAAAAAAAAAAAAAAAAAAAAAAATCACATTTCTTCATAAATTTAGGTAAAAATGTATTCTGCTATCTTTGGTAAAAAATAAAAATCCCAATAAGTCTGTATTTATTGGTCGGTGTGAAAGTTATAGCGTCTACTGACTATGGTATATATACTGGAATTTATGCAGCTATGATGCTATACTGATAATCAGCGACTTAAAGTGGGATTGTGATAGTGTGGCGGGCAATCTGGCGATAACAGACCCTCCCTGGAAGGTACACTAAGTGACCGACACCACCATCACTAGTGACACTATTAGAATGATCACTGCCAAAACTGTACGCTGTCACTGTACTAATGACACTGGCTGGAAAGGGGTTAACATCAATGGGGAATCAAAGGGTTAACTGTGTGCCTAACAAGTGTAATGTGTGCTGCTTTTACTGAGATCTGGCTGTTTTTTTTCCCCTGCCTTTCAGGGAGAGGAAACAGCCAGATCACTGTTCTGTGTACAGAGTCCTGTGCGTTTGTAAACACAGGACTCTGTGCTGGGATTAGACACAGCCAATCAGATGCTTTCGGTCATAATTCATTGGCTGACACCTGCTGACAAAATCGTCCAGTCAAAAGCATGCGTCAGCAGGAGGCGCTTGCGATTTTTTCCATTAGGCGCTTGCGATTTTTTCCATTAGGCGAGCCTGTACCTGCCGCCTGCTCACAGTATATTTACTGTGATCAGGCAACAAGTGGTTAAATGATTAGCCCCATGAGGTCAGAGCTTCATCCTTGGACTCACCTTCGATTCCTTGAAGGGGAAATCTGAAAACTCCTGAACTATAACAAACAGATTGTCCACCGACCTCAGACGATGAACCTGAAATGAAAAAAAAAAAAATGCAGAAAAAAATCTGTAGGCTTGTTCTGGTACAGCAACTCAGGAAGTAATGAGGCCATAGACTGTCAGGTAACTGGCATTTTCAGATGCAGCGATAGTCTATATCCGGCTGTCAAAATGACAGCTGGGAGTTACTGTGTAAATGCACCAGCTGTAGAAACTGCTATTGTCAAAAAAGGCCTCATGCAGCTGGAGGGCCCAGCGCGATCCCCCTGTACAGAGGCCGTCGCGATCCCCCCTGCACAGAGGCCGTCGCGATCCCCCCTGCACAGAGGAGGCCGATCCCCCCTGCACAGAGGCCGGCCCCCCCCTGCACAGAGGCCGCGCGACCCCCCCTGCACAGAGGCCCCGACCCCCCCTGCACAGAGGCCGGCGCGACCCGGCCCTGCACAGAGGCCGGCGCGACCCCCCCGGCCGACCCCCCCTGCACAGAGGCCGGCGCGACCCCCCTGCACAGAGGCCGGCCCGACCCCCCCTGCACAGAGGCCGGGCCGACCCCCCCCTGCACAGAGGCCGGCCCGACCCCCCCTGCACAGAGGCCGGCCCGACCCCCCCCACAGAGGCCGGCCCGACCCCCCACAGAGGCCGGCCCGACCCCCCTGCACAGAGGCCGGCCCCCCCCCTGCACAGAGGCCGGCGACCCCCCTGCACAGAGGCCGGCCCGACCCCCCCCTGCACAGAGGCCGGCGCGACCCCCCCTGCACAGAGGCCGGCGCGACCCCCCCTGCACAGAGGCCGGCGCGACCCCCCCTGCACAGAGGCCGGCGCGACCCCCCTGCACAGAGGCCGGCCGACCCCCCTGCACAGAGGCCGGCCCGACCCCCCTGCACAGAGGCCGGACCGACCCCCCTGCACAGAGGCCGGCCCGACCCCCCCTGCACAGAGGCCGGCCCGACCCCCCTGCACAGAGGCCGGCCCGACCCCCCTGCACAGAGGCCGGCCCGACCCCCCTGCACAGAGGCCGGCCCGACCCCCCTGCACAGAGGCCGGCCCGACCCCCCTGCACAGAGGCCGGCCCGACCCCCCTGCACAGAGGCCGGCCCGACCCCCCTGCACAGAGGCCGGCCCGACCCCCCCTGCACAGAGGCCGGCCCGAACCCCCTGCACAGAGGCCGGCCCGAACCCCCTGCACAGAGGCCGGCCCGAACCCCCTGCACAGAGGCCGGCCCGAACCCCCGGCACAGAGACCGGCCCGACCCCCCGGCACAGAGACCGGCCCGACCCCCCGGCACAGAGACCGGCGCGACCCCCCGGCACAGAGACCGGCGCGACACCCCGGCACAGAGACCGGCGCGACACCCCGGCACAGAGACCGGCGCGATCCCCCGGCACAGAGCTCAGACCTGATACAAATCATAATCTCTGGCAGCAGACAGTGCAGGATTCCTACCAGTACACATCTTATGAGCCTTACAATGACCCAGCACAAGAGCCAGTCTTAGAACTCCCCCCTAAGTATCCTGGCTGGGAGTCAGTCCAGGGGTCCCGCACGGGCAAACCACCACGCAGTGCACAAATATTTCCCCATTGTATTTCCTATCTGTAAGTGTCACAGAAGTGGCTGTATTCTGCCAGCCGTTCCTGCTGAGTAGTACAAAGCAATTCCTAGCTGTCATTTTGACAGACAATAATGGTGGTGGGGCTGGGGAAGAGGAGCTGTATGTAAGAGATACGTCCTGAAAAGGAAAGTTCATAAATGAAGCTCTGGTGGTGTCATGTTTCAGGCACTGGGAGGAAAGTGTTCAGGCCAAGACTGGCCCATTTTATATAGAAATCAGTAGCTGGTTACCTATGAGCGCTAATGTAGGTGCGCCGTGCGGCCATTATGGCGCCGCTCCCCATCCTCTCACCTGGGCCAGGCCATCCATCCCGATCTGGAAGTAGATCTTGCCCCGATCTTTGCTGATCTTACACTGGCACCCCAGCTTCTCCTCCACTTCCGCTGCAGCCGTGAATTCGAACCCCGTCGGCACCGTGGCCCCGATAGTGACCAGCGAGCTCTCAGAAGGGGCCACATCGCAGGGCACCGGGTCATCCAGGCCGACCTCCGTTAGGATGTCTGCAGCGGCATCAACCTCGGACATGTCGGCGATCAAAGAGCAACCAATTCTGTATGAGAAAAATGAAGGTTACGTGACTACCAACGTGTATCTGCCACCTAACGACAGCGGGGGAGGGGTTATACCCTCTGTCAGAGGTCTATTGCTGTGTGAGTGGGTGTCCCCATTGGGCAGTTTTCCCTTCACTTCCTGTTCTTGCGACACCTGTCACAGACCGCAATGGACATGATAGAGGTTCTACCTCTCCACAATCTAAAACTGAAAACGAAAAAAATATTTTAGCTGGAGTCATATTATTCTAATTATGAAATAATCTGATCATTACCAGTATTTATATCGTCTGTGATGCTATGTACGTCTCTGAGCGCTCGCCGTACGCGGGACAGCCCAGCCGTATGTGGGACAGCCCAGCCGTATGTGGGACAGCCCAGCCGTACCCTAAACCCAGGAGCTGCTTATGACATATATGCGTGTAAGTAATGAAAACTGGAGCTCTGATAGTTTCATATTTCAGGCATCATTAAGAACTGTATTACATGAGCCTCGGTACGCAACAGCACCCGGTGATAGAATGGCCATCAGTATACTGGCACTGAGACAAGCCCAGGGACATTTCCAGGGACACATCTCAGCAGATGGCACCCATGGCAATGGTATTTCTATGAGAAGAGTCCCCTGGACCCCAATAATACCAGGAAGAGCCCCTTCTGGGCACTCAGGGGGGGGGGGCAGAAACCAGCTTCCCTCCAAGGACCAAAAGCAAATAAATAAATATAAACTATCACTTGACAACACAGAGTGACCCCACCACCGGCAACGTGCTCACCACTCTGCAGACATGACAGCCATCGATGACTCGGCGCTCCTCGCAGGGCTGACGATTGCAGATCAATCTGTGCGCGCGCGCTGACCGGACAGCAGGTGGCGCTGTGTCCTAACAGCAATCCCAGTACAGGGGAGACTGCGCTGTGTAGCGCGGACAGCAGGTGGCGCTGTGTCCCAATACAGGGGAGCCTGCGCTTGTGTAGTGGGAACAGCAGGTGGCGCTGTGTCCCAATACAGGAGAGCCTGCGCTTGTGCAGCGAGAACAGCAGGTGGCGCTGTGTCCCAGTACAGGGGAGCCTGCGCTTGTGCAGTAAGCACAGCAGGTGGCGCTGTGTCCTAATAGAATTCGCAGTACAGAGGAGCCTTGCCCTTGTGCAGCGAGGACAGCAGCAGTACAGAGCCTGCTGGCTGTGTAGTAATCCCAGTACATGGGAGCCTGCGCTTGTGCAGCGAGGACAGCAGGTGGCGCTGTGTGCTAGTAGCAAGGTGGCGCTGTTCCCTAACAGCCCAGTACAGGCAGCTTGCGCTTGTGCAGCGAGGACAGCAGGTGGCGCTGTGTTCTAATAGTAATCCCAGTACATGGGAGCCTGCGCTTGTGCAGCGATGACAGCAGGTGGCGCTGTGTCCTAATAAAATTCCCAGTACATGGGAGCCTGCGCTTGTGCAGCGAGGACAGCAGGTGGCGCTGTTCCCTAACAGCAATTCCAGTACATGGGAGCCTGCTCTTGTGCAGCGAGGACAGCAGGTGGCGCTGTTCCCTAACAGCAATTCCAGTACATGGGAGCCTGCGCTTGTGCAGCGAAGACAGCAGGTGGCGCTGTTCCCTAACAGCATTTCCAGTACAGGGGAGCCTGCGCTTGTGCAGTGAGGACAGCAGGTGGCGCTGTTCCCTAACAGCAATCCCAGTACAGGGGAGCCTGCGCTTGTGCAGCGAGGACAGCAGGTGGCGCTGTTCCCTAACAGCAATCCCAGTACAGGGGAGCCTGCGCTTGTGCAGTGAGGACAGCAGGTGGCGCTGTGTTTAAAGGCATAGTCCACCTTTTGCAAGACTAATAAAATGCAGCCACACTAAACCTTCAACCTTTTGAAGAGCGGTTGATTCGGTAACCAGTCAAACGATGAAATGGTTCAGAATTTTGTATTATTTTATTTTGAAAGGCATAATGAAGATTTTCCTCCTGCAGCAGCTGATTGGAGGGAGAGGAGGAGAAGTCAGCTCTCAGCGGTTGCAGGAGGAAAATGAAGGGAATCAGGTCCTCTCTATGCCACCCCCGCCGCCCCTTCTGTCCAAGTGTAAAACAGAATGTGACGGGGAGGCTGCATGGGCCCCCTGGAGCATAGGCCCCCTGGAGCATGGATGGAGTCACTATTGCGACTGCTGATGCTACACCAGTGGTTGAGGGATGTGTGGTAAAAACACATGGCCATTGGTTGGGATGAGTACGGAGTAGTGGCCATTGGTTGGGATGAGTACAGAGTGGTGGCCATTGGTTGGGATGAGTACGGAGTGGTGGCTATTGGTTGGGATGGTTGGGATGAGTACGGAGTGGTGGCCATAGTTGGGATGAGTACGGAGTGGTGGCCATTGGTTGGGATTAGTACGGAGTGGTGGCCATTGGTTGGGATGAGTACGGAGTAGTGGCCATTGGTTGGGATGAGTACGGAGTGGTGGCCATTGGTTGGGATTAGTACGGAGTGGTGGCCATTGGTTGGGATTAGTACGGAGTAGTGGCCATTGGTTGGGATGAGTACGGAGTGGTGGCCATTGGTTGGGATTAGTACGGAGTGGTGGCCATTGGTTGGGATTAGTACGGAGTAGTGGCCATTGGTTGGGATGAGTACGGAGTGGTGGCCATTGGTTGGGATTGGTATGGAGTGGTGGCCATTGGTTGGGATGAGTACGGAGTAGTGGCCATTGGTTTTAGCAGTTAGTAGATCATTAGTGAGCTTTAGTAGGGCAGTTTCAGTTGAGTGGAGTCAGACTGTAAAGGGTCAAGAAGGTTGTTGTCGGTGAGGTGGGAGCTCAGGCGATTGTAGACTAAGCGTTCTAGGAGTTTTGAGGTAAACGGGAGCAGGGAGATGAGTCTTAGGTTGTTCAGATTGGTGGGGTCCAGGGAGGACTTTTTAAGTATGGGAGTGATGTGCGCATGCTTTAGAGGGGAGGGGAAGGCACCAGTAGAGAGGGAAAGATTGAAGATGTGAGTGAGGGAGCGTAGGACGGAAGAAGAGGGTGACCGTAGTAGTGGTGAGGGGACAGGATCCAGGGGGCAGGTGGTGAGACGGGCTTCTGAGAGAACTTTAGGCACAATAATGTTTGGTGGTATAATGAATTCACCTTCGGTAAGTATCCTCCTACTGACGTTACAACTGTTGCTGATGTCTGAGAATAGCTATACACAATGTGGAGGTGCCAAGGACCAGGGGCAGAATGACAACTCATGGGGCAATAAGGGATCATGGGGCCCCTATGTACTCACCCACACCCAAAAAAGCCTATGAAAAGTACTAGGGGCATCTCATGGGGCCCCCTACTGACCCTGGGCCCTCAGGCAGTGTCCGAGTGCCCGAATGGTCAGTCCGCCCCTGCCAAGGACTGTCCCTGGGATTGAACATTTTCAGCCCTGGCGAATGTAGCTGATCCCATGGAAGACCCTTCCTTTCATTTATTATTGCCATGGAGGATGAAGAATATTGGAGGTTTGCTCCAAAATTTCAGCATTAGGTGACATACATTGGAGTCCAATATCTAAGCGGTCTTAAGGGTACAATGGGCTTTAAATGGCTCCTGGAGGTTACAGAAGTTCATTTTACCTAACCCAGACCTGTGTTTGTACCACAAAAACCCTAACCCGGCCGCTGATGACTTGCCAGTGCCCGGTGATTGCCGAGCATCTCTGATGGGGGGAAGAACTGTTTTTTAAACAATACAGTTCTCTCCCCTGTCAGCTCCTGCACACTGCTTTGTATGGCTCTGCATAGCACAGCCATACAAAGCAGTGTGCTGACAGTGAGGCACACACACCGCACATAATGTAAAATAGCACACAGTTAGCCCTTTTGACCGCCCCTCATGTTAACCTCTTCCTGCCCAGTGCCAGTACAGTGTTGGTGCTTTTTATTAGCACTGATCACTGTATTGGCGTCACTGGGGATGTCAGTGACACCAAGTCAGTTCCCCTCCAGTGTCAGAATGCCCACCGCAGTCCCTTTATAAGTCGCTGATCGCTGCCATTACTATATAATAAAAAAAATTGTACATCACCTTGCAATGCCGCGTGACAACAGGTGAAGCTTACATGACGTCAACAGGTGAAGTTTACATGATGTCAACAGGTGAAGCTTACATGATGAAGTCAACAGGTGAAGCCTACATGACGTCAACAGGTAAAGCTTCAACATGATGTACAACAGGTGAAGCTTACATGACGTCAACAGGTGAAGCTTACATCAACAGGTGACGTCAACACAGGTGAAGCTTACATGACGTCAACAGGTGAAGCTTATAGGACTTGAACTTATGACGTCAACAGGTGAAGCTTATATGACGTCAACAGGTGAAGCTTACATGACGTCAACAGGTAAAGCTTACATGATGTCAACAGGTGAAGCTTACATGACGTCAACAGGTGAAGCTTATAGGACGTCAACAGGTGAAGCTTACGTCAACAGGTAAAAGTCAACAGGTGTGAAGCTTATAGGACGTCAACAGGTGAAGCTTATAGGACGTCAACAGGTGAAGCTTATATGATATTATAGCGATCAGGTTTAGAATGACTTTAAATCCACCCTGAACCGTGTTGCTCATGTTTCACCATCATGCAGAAGTCTGCCTAGCTAACACTGCCGCTGAATAATCACAGATCAGTCCCGTAGCTGAGGATGTCACAAGCGGGTTGGCAGAGGCGTTCGCCGTTGTTGGCTGGAAAGGCTGTAATTTGTGTTCTGTCAATACTTCCAGGAAACATATTGTCACACAGTGTTCATAAAACAGCGGAGGGTGGGGGTGGGGGAGGCTCAGCCTTCCATCGCTTGTAACACGAACTGCATGATATCATGGCCAACCATCCTGGCGCCGGAGGACTACAAATCCCAGCATGCATTGGTCATCAAGCCACAGGGTCACTGCATCCTCCTGTGATATTTTGGATCTGTGAGACAAACCATCATTTTATTTTCCAATGGTGGCCATGCAAACTCCA